CTGGAAAAGCTAAACATCATCCCCTCATGAATGGTACCTCACAGCCCTTACTGATGGGCTCAAGTAAATATTTGGAAATTTGCCTGAGGTTTTTAACTGCACGTGGCCTGTTGATTTCAATGGGAGTCAAGGAAGTCAAGTGTGTTCCCTGCTTTGAAAATCCTACACTGAGTATTTTTAATCATAATCTTCCTTTCCATCAATAACTTATTCATTACATAATCACTCAACACTATTTTTATAAAGTGATGGAGTCTATACCTACTTCTAACTTCCATTCACTGAGTAAAGGCACATAGAAAATAACTTAAGTTCATGTTCACAGAAAAACAACTTTTAAATATCAAATGCAGCTATCTACTCACTCTCCAATTCCAAATTATCTCCTTTCCAAGTTAATAGCATAGCTATTACAAGTTAATAGCATTGCTATTTCCCGAAGTGTTTGTTGTGCTATATGGCTTCACAATTATCTGTTGGTTGATAGCCTCTATGTATGCTCCAGTTTCCTAAATGTGGCTTGAGGGAGAGAGAGATTCAGCCTCTTTCCATGATACATACAAAACCTTAACATATATTTACCTTACCCTCAGGGAATCCAGCAAAGGATCTAGATGATATTGTTTCCAAATCTCTAAATGGTTCAGAAACTGCAGGATCATCTTGTTATGTGACCTCAACCATGGACTCCCAAAAAAGAATTGCTTAAGGAAAAGTTATATTGAATCCTTTATCTTTCTGACATGGAATAAACTGTGTAAAAGACCAGCCAATATAATCTGTCATAATTTTATTTTAATCTTTCTGTGTTTCAATAAATGTAATTCTGTATGTGCTTGTATTCTGAAATTACATGCTCTTGGACAGTGTGCCCAATTTCTAAGTACAGTACAATAACTAAGATCTTCCCATTTTATTAATTATACTAAGCTTTTGTTCCTGAAGCTCAAAAAGAACTGTCAGATGTTTGCTTCTCTAGTCAGTCACAGCCTTTATTTGGTTAGCTAGGTCATACTATGAACACACATCATATGAATAATTTGGACAAGCAGTAAGCTGCTTTAGAATTTTCAGGTAAGGGGACATAATTTTTCCTTAACCTCTTCTGATTTATTAAGTATTGCTTTTAAGGAGATTACATTACCAAGCAATAAAGATGATGGCAGCAAGGGGGAAGAATAGGAGGCCCTGAACTCTCCTTCCCCACAGACACACAGATTTAACACCAACACATGAATCAATTTTTTGTGTGTGAGAAATGCAAAAACTAGTTGAATGGCTCCTGAACCCTTGGCAAGGGCAAATACAGCTACATTGAAAGAAGCAGGAAAAAGGGAGATACCTTCTTGTTGCTATCCCTAGCACAGTGCCATATAATCACAAGGGAATCTCCAGCTTCCTGCTTCTGAGTGAAGAGTGAAGAAGTAGGACTGCACATCTAACATCCCAACTTTTCTGGCTTCTATCCAAGGAAGTGTCTTCTATCTTACCTGTCTTGGATAGCTGACAGGTCTAGCACACACTAGACCCTGGGGTATACAGAGAATAAACAGAGGTTTGAACATGCATGCAGGCACTTTGCACAGCTCCTCTCCATGCCTCAGTGTGGAGCAAGCAGGAGGAAACAAACAAACAAATAAAAACAAACTTCCAGGTAGTATGACCTACCATACAACTAGTTGCTACAGCCCCTCCCCTCAACTGAGGAAAAAATAAAATAAAATAAACACTCAGGTCCCTGCTTCTCTCTATTCAGGGAAATAATTAAACAAGTATCCAATGATACAACTTTTGGGTGCTTCCCAAGAAAATGGCTTCCAAAGAAAATGAATCTTCCTTGTCTCGGAGCACTGAAATGACCCCCTAGCATTCTCTAGATGCCTAGGGGTTGCTAAGAACAAAGAAAGCAGTCAGGATAGTCAAAAGTTTTAGAGGCTTCCAAAATCTATGACTGGGATGATTGGTGAAGGCCTTCTCCTATGTGGAACTAGTCCACAAAGACTAAAAGAGGTTACTGTTTTGTCTAATGTGAAGATACCAACACAGAGAACCCAGGTAAATTAAAAAACAGGGAAATATGTTTCAAACAAAGAAACAAAATAAATATACAAATATTAACCCTAATAAAATAGAGACATTATGTTCCTGACAGAGAATTCAAAGTAACTGTCACTCAGATCAGAATAATGTATACACAAAGTGAGAAATTAAACAAAATGATAAAGTATCAAACAGATATGATAGAACTGAAAAGTACAATAATTGAACGAAAAAATTCACTGGGGGGTTCAAAAGAAGATTAGATCAGGCAGAAAAAAGTATCAATAAATTCAGATAGGTCATTAAGAATCATTTTGTCAGAGGAACACAAAGAAAAACAATGAAAAAATATAGAATCTTAAGAGATTTATGGGACACCATTACACGGACCAATTTATGCACTATGGGAGTCCCAGAAGGAGAAAACAGAAATAATCATAAAGCTATTGAAAGAAATAATGGCTGAAAGCTTCCCAAGTCTGGGAAAGAAAATGTTCATTCAAATTCAGGAAGCCCAAAAACTCCAAATAAAATAAACCCCTCAAAGTCAACACAGAGGGCCAGACACGGTGGCTCACACCTGTAATTCCAACATTTTGGGAGGCTAACGTGGGGGGATCACAAGGTCAAGAGTTCGAAACCAGCCTGGTCAACATGGTGAAACTCTGTCTCTGCTAAACATACAAGAATCAACTGGGCATAATGGCACATGCCTGTAGTCCCACTACTTGGGAGGCTGAGGCAGAAGAATCACTGAGGCTGCAGGAAGCTGAGATCATGCCACTGCACTCCAGCCTGGGTGAGAGTGAGACTGACTCAACAACAACAAAAAAGTCTACACAGAGACACATTATAATCAATGGTAAAAGACAAATATTAAATTTCAAAGTACCAAGAGAAAAGTGACTTGCTCACATACAAGGGAATCTCTGTAATCCTATTAGTGAATTTTTTTAGCAGAAGTAGGCCAGAAGTGAGTCAGATGACATATATAAAGTGCTGACAGAAAAAAAAAAAAGAAACAAAACTGTGAAACAAAGGTACTTGTTTCTTATATTCTTAAAGAAAAGATAAAGATATTGCTAGACAAACCAAAGCTGAATTAGGTCACCACCATTAGACCTACCTTACAAAAAATGATAAACAGATTTATTTAACATGAAATGAAAGGACACTAAACAGTGAACAATAGCATAAGAAACTATAAGATTTGTTGATAAATGTAAATATATAGACAAATACAGAATACTGTATTACAATAACAGTGGTGGGTAAATCACTTATAATTCTAGTATAAAAGTCAAAAGGCAATACTATAAGCATAACTATACTATAAGCATAACTATATTTAAAAATATATATTTATGGAAATACAATATAAATTGCAAATTTTGACAACATAATGTATGTGGTGAAAATAAAAGTGTAGAGTTTTTATAGGTGATTGATAATTTAGTTTTCAGCTTAAAATAGACTGTAATAAAACATTTTATCATAATGACAAAAATACATATGGAAGTTACACAAAAGTAAGATAAAAAAATCAAAGCATATGAATACAAAGAAGTAACAAAATACAAAGGAAATTAGCAAGAGAGGAAAAGAAGAACAAATGAACTATAAGACAAACAGAAAACAATAAATAAAATGATAACAGTAAATTCTTTTCTATTAATAATTATTTTAAATGTAAGTTAATTAAACTCCCAATCAAAAGACATAGAGTGGCTAAATGAATTTAAATTAAAAAAAAAAAGATCCAACTATTTGTTGTCTACAAGAGACTCACTTTAGATTACAGGACACACATAGCCTGAAAGTAAAGAGAAGGAAAAAGATATTCCATGCAATGGTAACCAGAAAAGATTAGGGATGACTGTCCTTATCAGATAAAATAAACCTTAATTCCAAAACTGTCACAATAGAAGCAGAAGGACATGTAATGATAAAAGGATCAATCCCTCAGGAAGATAGAGCAATTATAAATATAAAGCACCTATATATGTAAAATGAACATTGACAAACTGAAGAAAGAAATAGATAGCAATATGATAATAACACAAAACCTTAATACCCCACTTTCAATTACAGATAGAACCACAATTTCAATTACAATTTCAATTATAGACAGAACATAAACAAAGGAACAATAGACCTGAACAACACTATAGACCAAATGTACCTAACAGACATACAGAATATTTAATCCAACAACAGCAGAATACACACACTTTTTAAGTTGCACATGGAAGATTCTTCATAAAACAAGTCTTAAATTTAAGAAGACTGAAATTGTACCAAGGATCTTTTCCAACCACAATAAAATAAAACTAGAAATCAATAGCAGAAAGAAAACCGAAAAACTCACAAATTATGGAAATTAAACAACACAATTTTGAACAACCAGTGGGTCAAAGAAGATATCAAAAGGGATATTAAAAAGTATCTCAGTGCAAACGAAAACAAAAACAAGCATACCGTAACTACATGATGCAGCAAAAGCAGTACTAAGTGCAAAGTTTTAGTGATAAATGCATACATTAAAAGGAAAGATCAGGTTTTGCTCTCATATTTACAACTATATTTCCCCCTTCCTTGTGACCACTGGTTATTCTAATAGAAATCCTTTTCAAATGCTATATAATAAAAAGTTTTCATTATAAAAAAGATTGGAATTTTTGGCAGCTCTGGTTTATGATTTTATATCTGTAGGTTTAAAAAGACTTCTGTAGAAAAATAAAAGCTGAAGCAGTTCACTAAAAAGGAAATGTGATTTCTGTAATGACATTTCTTTTCTAAGTGATAGGAACAATATAAAAATTCCATGCTTAAATAAATGAAAAGCTACCAACTATCTTTGATGTCAGTTTGAGGACTTTTAATAATTCTTCCCTCGCCCGTGTTTCAATAACTACATGAGGCCACTCAATTCTTCCCTTTACAGACACCGAGTAAAATACCTTTATGTCAGGAAATTGGCCCAGGTAGGTATCCAGTGTTAGCAAGGACCCATCTACAAGTTTTTGATGGAAATCTTCCCACAGCACATCACATTTCTAAAAGAAAAAAAGAAATAAAGAGACCACTGCTGAATTATTTTAATTGGCTACCTTTCACCAAACTTCTAAAAAAAAATCTGAAACTATACAATTAGACAAGTAATACTTTTTCAGATATGAGATGCTAGGGGAAAAATGAGGATCATTTAATAATGCAGTACAATTTTAAGGCAATTTGGCCACTGGTTCTAGTTAACAAACCAGGCTAGCTAAGAGTTCAGCTCATTAAAATTGTATTTCTGACTCTAAATTACTAAAGAATGCAGAAACTTCAAAAGATCCCCATATCCCTATAGACGAACATTGGAGCCAAGAGACTGAGAATAATTCCACTAAGACAATTTCCTTCTGAAGCACTCCATGAAGTTAGAAACCACCTCGCACTAAAACAAACAAATCATTTCTGATATGTTGCCTCCATAGGGAAAACAGAAAAGTTACAGGCATATTGGGAAGGGTCTTACCATTTATGGAGTATCAATTATGATAAACACACAATGAATATTAGGTGTTATTATTATTACAAATAGTATTACTGCTATCACTATGTTAACGCATACTCACAATTGTTTTATAAGAACAGACTTGTTATTTCCCCTATACAGAAGAGGACAATGAAGCCCAGAGGATGTCATATAACCTGGCCAAGGTTATGTAGTTGATAAATGACAGACACAGTTTTCAACTCAGATCTGCCTCCTTGAACCCAAAGCCCATGATATGACTATCACACCAGGCTCCCCCTACCAAAGAAGGACTTTTTATCTCAGCTGTGTGACTTTGGAGAGCTACACCTCCCTGAATTTCAATATCCCCAATTAAATGACTTGGCAATGTAAAATGCTTCACAGAATTTCAGCCAAATAGCAGGTACTCAAGAATGTCATCTTCACATTTCTCTCACTAGCACATTTTGGCTCTCTTGACAGAGTCTGCTGTTTGTCACCCAGTATCTACCCTTTCTTCCTTCCTACTAACTGAACCTCCCACCTTAGCTAGGCTCTTGGCCACCTAACATAAAAAACTCTACTTCTAAGACTCCTTTGCAACCAGGTGTGGTCATGTGGCTGTGTCGTAGACAATGGGATGTACTTCCAGGAGGTGTCCTGAAAAAGAGGGAGTGGGCTGTCTTCCAGGCTTCACCTTTCTTGCTAACTGGCATACAGAAAAGAGAGCTGATGGCCAGTGCTCAGAGAGTCACCTTGACGTTGAAGGCAGGCTAAAAATGGCAAACATGGCTCCCTAATACTGTAGGGTCAATATGCAATGTCTAGGCTGCTGACCTTTAAATTCTTCTATGTGAGAAATAAGTTTTTATCTTATTTATATCTTGTTAAAACACGCGCGTGCGCACACACACACACACACACACAACCTACCTCTTCCTAAATTTGATTTTGTTTCTTTATCAAACTTTGAAAAGTAATCCTAATGTTACAAATCTCAATTCAAGAATTTTATGTAGACCAAAACATTTAAATCCACTGTTGAAAAAAGCTCAACTGCTGATGTGAGTAGACCCCCTGAACATGCAGTGTTCAGTTTTTTCATCATCACAAGAGCCTATGCTGGTATCTGCAACCAAAGATATCAAAAATCCTGGCAGCTGCAAGAAGCAAGGTAGGAGACCAGCCATTGCCTTAAAAAATAAATGCCAATAGTGGTCTTTGCCATACATAGAACGTAATGTGGTGTTGTGAAAAGTTATTAACACAAGTGTCTATTATTCCCTTAAAATTCTTTTTTTGGCCATCAATTTTTAGTTATATTACTACTTAGAAATTGACAAAGTATTTAGCAACATGATGTTGAAATACTGTGTTTTTATTGAAGAAATGTGAGAAGATGCAATTACTTAATAATTGTATCTAAAAATAACGTGTGCAATCTGGTTTAGCCAAATCTACATCCTGAAAGTTTTTGAAAGATCTAAAAGAGCCAACAAGCACTTTCCTCATAAATAAATCTCTGTTATTATCTCAGTTATAAGAAGATTACAAAGCTCAATGTCAGGATGTCGGAATTGTCACTGAGCAGCCTAGGACTCCATTGTTAACCGCATCTTTTCCAAGGCTGCACAGACATTCAGTGCATCACCTATCAGCCCTTCCCCTGAGCTCTGGTTACTACATCGAGTTTAGGTTGTCTGTGCCTTAAGAGCTGCAATAACTCACCTGGAGTAGAGGACATGACAAACAATTGCTCTTTGTTTTAACAAAGAACCTGGATGTGAGAGAATCTGTGACTGACAGTTGTCTGACATCAGTAATCATAACATGTACGAAACACTGAGTAGGTAAAGGACAGGTACTCAAAGGCAATCAATGTCTTATCAGTAGGTACAATTATTTTCTCATTTTGTAGATGAGGAAACTACCAGTCCGAGAAGTTTAAAGACCTGGTCCAAACGTCACACAGAGCTACTCAGTCTCTGGTCCATTCTGCTTTCCACAAAGCAAAACCTGCTTACTCACTTCCCATCAACCAGACAGCCCCCAGCCAGAAGCCTGATCTCAGGTGTTAAGACATGTCTAGGGCCAAAGCCTTTCTGAAGCCGAATTTCTTTTTACAGTCTGACTTTGTACTTGCTTCAGGATGTGAAGATCTCTGACTGGACTAGCTGGTGTTAAAGTGGAATGGATGCTCTTCTGAACTCCTGTCCCTCCATTTGGGGAGGGATAGTCAATAGGGGGACTGTGATGAAGGGGTGAAGTTAGGACACAAATCACACTGTCATCCAGATCTGCTAGAAATGGGCTGTTAAAGACTTGTAGTGAGGACAGAAAAATGATATTGTTATTTTGTGTAAACAGCGATCTACCCAAGTGGTTTTATGATCATCTTCACTTTTCTTTTTCTTCGAAATGGGGTCTTGCTCTGTTGCCCAGGCTGGAGTGCAGTGGCTCAACAGATCTTGGCCCAGTGCTACCTCTGCCTCCTGGGTTCGAGCAATTCTCCTGCCTCAGCCTCCTAAGTAGCTGGGATTACATGCATGCACCATCATGCCCAAATAATTTTTTTGATTTTTAGTAGAGACAAGGTTTCAACATGTTGACCAGGCTGGTCTTGAACTCCTGAACACAGGTGATCTGCCCACCTCAGCCTACCAAAGAGCTGGAATTACAGGCGTGAGCTACCACACCTGACCCATCTTCACTTTTCACTCTAACTTTGGAATCATCTGGCAGCAGAACTGCACAGTGCCTTCTGGGTTAACTGTCTCACCTCATGATTAAGACTGTGAAGTGGGAAGAGCAAGTTAGGGGACAGGTGGACTGAGTAAGGTTCATGGGAGCCTCATGGAAGTCACCCCAGCTCTTACCTCGCCAACCATTTTCACATCTTCCCGCCCATACCAATCTGGCTCATAGACTTCATGCAGCGACTCTGTGAGCTTCATGGAGGCCTCTTGCATGCCTAGTGTTGGAGAGAAACAACTCCTGTTACATAGAAATGGGTGAGGAGTCTCTTTTCCCTTCCTCCACTTTTTTAAGTGAGAGTAAAATATTGAGTACTTGCTAAACATTTGAGGAAAAATTATGAAGGCACAACTGCTGCTTGTATTTGCTGTTGTATCTTCCCTGGAGGGTCTCTAAGACTTATCACATTGCACATTTTCTATTATTCACGTGACAATGATAGATATGGGTTCTTGGGAAAAATCAACAAGTATCTTACTCTGAAAGTTACAATGATCATAATGTGTCCTATCATGTATGCTATCACTTGCCAAGTGGTATTGGATGCTAAGAACACTGTTCTATAAAACTGTAGAGTTCTAAAACTAAAATTCGTCCTAATGAATTTAAACACAAGAAATAAAGCATTTTTAGAAGGAGCTAGAAGTAAAAATTGTCAGGATTATAGGGCATTAACAGTTGAAAGTGGTTAAGTGGCCTAAAATGGTAAACATGTTTAAAGTGGTTAAATGGTTAAGTGTTAAGTGGCCTAAATTTTTTATGAAGAACAAAGAAAAAAAGTTTGTCATCTTCCAGTAAAATAAGTCCTTATCTAATGTCATAGGTTCTTGCAAAGTGTGACTTAAATTGATATGATGAATATTGAAACCAATTTTACCCAAGGTTAATTCATATAAACAAGAGTTAATTTCCCAGAACATATTTTTCAACACAGACACATCACAAAACTTCGAACTGAAGGTCAAAACACTTCTAATATTGAACATTGAAATAAATGTGAGCAGTACATACACTTAAGAAAGATTAATAAAAACAAGTAAGATAATTATTTACTTACTCCAGTTTAGAGTCATGGGTGACCAGATCCTCTCCCAGAGGCTCAGACCACAAGATGGGCACTAGCTCTGGACAAAACGCATTCAATTGCAGGGTGCACTCACACACCCACACTCACTGCCATGCCAGTGAACTTCACTTGTACATCTTTGGGATGTGGGAGAAAGTCTAAGTACCAAGAGAAAACCCAGTGTATAAACTCCATATGGACAGTGGCCCTGGCTGACATCTTTTTTTTTTTCTCATCAATATTGTAATAAAATGATGCTGAATGAATGTTATCTGAAGATCTGCTACAGTATTAAAAATTATGAATGCAGTTTTAAATCAAAACTCTTAGAAACCTTAGGTTCACAAGCCTTTGGGTCTGAATTTTCATTAGGGATACATTTGATATGTTACAAAACTATGGTTGTTAATATCAGGAAAGATACATGCTTCTGAGCCCCACATGGGTGCCACAAAATATTACCCAGTCCTTTTTAGTCTCCCCCAAGGACCCCCTGCACAAAGGTTAGTGTATGTCCTGAAAAGCCACTAAGACAGCTCATAGCTGAGAGCAGAATAAGGGGCCACAAAGAACTGGGGACTTGGAGACATGCCTCTGGCAGCAGACTCTCCCTGACAGCCAGAAGATGGGACCTGGCCACATTGATGTCTTTGCCTTTGTCACTAGGGGGGATAAAAGGGGGTTGGGAACAGGGAGGGGAGAGGAAAATCAGAGCACTGTCATAAGAAATTAAAAAAACACATCCTGTAAACTTAAGGTCAGTGAATCCTAAGATGAAAATCATTTGTTAAACTGAAAACTCAACATTCTCGCCGGATTGGAAGTCATTAATTCTGGGTTCAACTGTGAGAGAAAAGAACAAAATAAAAGATGTCTGAAATGACAGAAATATATCCTTAAAGAAATGAGAGAAGTATATCCTTGAAGAGTATGTATGGAAGTCTATTTGTAACTTGGTATTTCATAGCACTGTGCTCTCTTTAGACAAAGAACATCTCTGCCCCTCAGAGCATCGGGCATATTCAAGGAAGCCTTCACAATGAGGTGTCCTGCCCACACCAGCTGAAGCAACTTGGCCACCATCAGATGAAGCCCTAGCAGAGTCTAGGGAAGGAAATAAACAGTATGATTCAAGACCCTAGGGCCTCTGATGAAACAGTCATCCAGGTGAAGTGGCAGCAGAGAGAAGACAAAACCTGAATCCGACCCCTAGCACTCTGAATCCAAGCAAGGAAGAATACATACTCTCACAATGTGGTCAACACTGAGGTGGAAGCTACATTATCCCAAGTGTCCAAATTCACCTCCACCCAAGTACAAGCAAATCTATATCAAGAAACATACCCCTCAAATTCATACCAAGCGTTAATCACTAGTGAACCCCCTTCTATAATCCAGATGCCAAAAGACTTTGTCTTAATTCTGATGGAAATTATACATAGCTGTGTAGATAGGTTTTTAACAATGTCTTAAGAGGAGAAAAAGAAATGACAGCACTGTAGGACAAACAACCTTTGTGATGAAAAATACAGTCATGAATGTTAAAATTATATAAGACTTTCATCATTGAGACTAAAAGCACAATGTTGCAGTAAATATGTCTATTAGAAGGCAAAAGTAACTACTAATTTCAGGGTGGATAAGTAGTGATGAATCATTTGGACAGAAGCCATTTTGACATGGAAACTGTTTTCGGAACATCTACTCCATAAGATAAACTTTGATGGATACACAGGTGAGAGGCTCTAAATCTGGAGCTAGGCTCCAGACTGGCAGAGCCTTTAGGAATTTGGAGATTACTCTGAGTGTGATAAGGGAAAAAGCTAAACTACAAGTTTCCTTCAGAGTAATTTGGCAACATAGATGCTAAATGCTACCTCTGACATTGAATAATGTACAATATCCAAAATTTTCTGAAAAGATTAGTGATTTCTAAAACTGTAAGACAATTGCCCAGCATCATATGTAGAAGAATTATTATTATTTTACTATTGGATGGGAACCACTTCCCTCTCTTCAAAATTTTGGACCTTCTCCAAGACACTTCATATAACGTCTATTCTCATTTGCAGCCAAATATGGAAGCTTCTATTTTTAGCCTTTAAGACTCATTGCTTAGATTGCACTACTTTCAAGTACTCCTTGCTTATGTAGCCTGAGGGTATGTGTTTTAGTTAAAAATAACATCAGTTAAAATAAATTCTGACAATAACCAGAGGCAGTGATAAACCACTAAAAGGACATCTAAAATACTTCAAGTATCTAGTAGCTTTGTCCCACTGCTTAAAAGAGTTGTGTAAAAAGATAGCAGCTGCCTCAAAGGAAAGCAAGAGTGGAATCTTTTCCTTAGATTCTCAAGAAGAGCAAGGATGGGAACAAGAGTCAGAATAAAATAGGCAGTTGGTAAGGTAGCTCGAGCAGTCACCCTTACCCTTTAGTCATACCCCACATAAGACACATAAATGAACTGTTTTGTCTTTTTGAGATGAAGTTTCACTCTTGCTGCCCAAGCTAAGTGTGACGGTTTGATTTCAGCTCACTGCAACCTCTGCCTCCTGGGTTCAAGGGATTCTCCTGCCTCAGCCTCCCAAGTAGCTGGGATTACAGAAGTGCATCACCAGACCTGGCTAATTTTTTGTATTCTTAGTAGAAACGGTTTTCACCATGTTGACCAGGCTGGTTTCAAACTCTTGACTTCAGGTGATCCGCCTGCCTTGGTTTCAAACTCCTGACTTCAGGTGATCTGCCCACCCCGGCCTTCCAAAGTGCTTGGATTACAGGCATGAGCCACTGCACCTGGCCTGAAGAACTATTAATGACACCACCTGCACCATGTTCCATTTAGAGAAAGATCTGGCATGTTCATCATCCCTGTGTCTGGCCTCTACAGGACCTGCATGCCTCCCAATTCTAAATTCCTACTGGACATCTCCACCTGGATGTCTTACTAATACCTCAAACTTCACATGTCAAAAACAAACTTAACTTTCCTGTCCAAACCTCCTTCTACTCCTTTTCTCAGTTGTCATGAATGCCACCGAGTTACCCCAGTTTGAAAACTAGAAGTCATCCCAGATTTATCCTCCCAAAGCTGAGTCACCAAGACACACCAATTCTGCCTGAATCTCAAATCTAGCCCCTTCATTTCCTGCCCACTGCCCTTCCCTTGATTAGGTACTCATCACATATGATTTAGATTAGATAACATAATCCACGTAACACGATTTAGCAAAGTAGCTGGCACAAGCAAATGCCCAAATGTCAGCCATCACAATACAAAATGTTTTTGGAGGCAACATAACAAAATAATTAAGACTATTACTTGCAATTATTTCCATTACATGTGATCCATGTGATTTTAGGCAAATTATTAATCATCAATAACCTCAGTTTTCCAAAGTGTAAAATACCAATGAATACACCTGCCACAAGTTTGTAGGGAAAATGACATAAACTGAGGCATGCAAAATGCCGGTTTCACTGCCTGGCACATAAGTGCTTAAATGTTAGCTAATATTATTGAATGCTGGGAAAAAGTCCTAGCATGTGTGATGAATTATATTATTTACTGAGAATGACAGTGAGGAAAACCGAGCCAGCCCCCCAAGTGGAAAACTGCTTCGGGCATTCTAAAGTAGTAAACAGTATATGTATATCATACACCAGTTAAACTAGTTCTTTAAGCATGGGATGTGTGACCCTGCCCCTGTGACTCCCTCGTGGAGAACGCTTTTTGGTTTGTCTTTGATCCATGGTAAGCAGACACCAGCTGCCTGCCTAGTTTATTTTGGTTCTATGATAAAACACAGAACACCTGCCTGTTGATAATAATCACCTGTTCAGAGAGAATAACTACGTGAGTCAGGGTCTAATTAAGGATCTCAGTTCGGAAGGCTGGTAGCTCCTTGAAGTCCCACTTTGCTGTTCTATCTTTGTTTGTTTCTTAATTCCTTCAGTGCCACCTGGGTTGGGGTTTCTATGACCAAGCTGGTCTTGGCAATTGAACTACTGGACTAGACTTCTGCTAAATCTCCATTCAATTTCACTTCTGGCCTGAATTCTACACAATCGCAATAACTATTTTTCTAAAATGCTAATCTGACCATGGGACTTTTTCCCTTGCCTACAATAACACCAACAATGACTCTCTTCTCTATTGATAGAATAAAATCCCCATGTGATATGATACATAGAGTACTTCTTTATACAAATGCTGCTTATTTTCCATGTTTCATCCAGCTCAGTTTTCTGCTTGTATCTCACTGCTCTGTTACCTCAAGAACCTATGCTTCCTTCTACCTCCTGGTCCAGTTGTTTGTTCAACCTGCAATGTCCCTCTAAAATCTCCCTCTCTATAGCAAACATAATCACTTAATAGCCACGTATGACCCCATTTCTTGGGTCCATTCAAATATAAGTTCCTTGGAAGAACCATTCCTACCCCAGTCTCTTGCTCCTCCTAAGGTGGGAGTCTGTCCTCTGTTATGACGGCACTGAGTGAAATGATCTATTATAATACATATTACTATACCTGTCTGGCCTTTTTATTTAACTGTCTCCCCATATCTGCTGTGAGTTCCTTGTCTTATTCATCTCTGCATCTCCCTCTCCTAGAGCAGTGTCCAGCACACAAATGGGAATTCCAGAAGTGTTTGCCACTAAAATAAATGCAAACATAAGATCTGCCTCACAAAGCCTAAGCATCAGCAGAAATCAGAGAGACCCAGAGAAGAGAAGCTACCCAAAGATCAGTCATAACAAACCAACTAGAATTCACTTAACCCAACATCACAAAATCCCAGTTTTGGGGGCTCCAGAGAGAACTGGAGCACTTAATAGATGAGGAACCCAAAGCAACTAAGAGACTCAATGATTTTCCCACAATTGCCCCAGGACTCATGACTTTCCAGGGCCAGATATCACTCTCTCTCTCATGCTGCCCTAATGCTACCAGCATTACAGCAGGATTAGTTAGCCAGAGCTCTCCTTGTAAAAACAAGAAAAAATGCCCGGGAAAGCCTTTGAAAATGGAAATTATTATCTACTTAAGGCATTGACATGGTTTGGCTCTGTGTCCTTATCCAAATCCCATCTCGAATTGTAATAATCCCCATGTGTTGTGGGAGGTAACTGGTCATGGGGGTAGGTTTCTCCTGGCTGTTCTCATGATAGTGAATAAGTCTCATGAGATCTGATGGTTTGATAAAGGGCAGTTCCCTTGCATAGGCTCTCTTGCCTGCCACCATGCAAGACATGCCTTTGCTCCTCCTTTACCTTTTGCCACGACTGTGAAGCCTCTCCAGCCATGTGGAACTGAGTCCATTAATCCTCTTTTTCTTTATAAATAAGTCAAACCCAGGCTGGGGTATGACTACAAGCAGTGTGAGAATGGATTAACACAAACATATACCTTGTTTTCAAGTTTGGTCCCAAAATCCAAAATACGTTCCCAGGAACACTATTCATTCTTCACGAAGCTTTGAGAAGAGAGAAGGGTCCTACAGTCAAATAACTTGGAATTCCTGCCTGCCCCACAGACTTCTGGAGCTGACGTTAGCATATTAAGGGCTCTGAGAAACTCAGTTGTGGCCTGTTTAGGAATTCATTCCAATCAGCTGTGGACAAAGTAATTTTAAACAGATTTGCTTGTTAACATCAGTCGATCAGCTGATGTTAACAAACCCAAGATGGGGAAAAGCTGATCAAATTCCTTTCTCCATACGGAGCTGTGACCACTAGCACTGGAGTTCAGGCACAGTCTGCCAGAAAGGGTTATTTGATGCCCTACCCAGCTTTTCTCTGGAGCTCAATCCTCACTCTCAGGAAATTCTTCTAGATCACATTAAGGAAAAGAATTATGCCAGTCTTTATAAGCAGAAGCAGGCTCCACACAAAAGAGGCAGCACAGACCAAATTGTATAGGCTTGGGAAAGAGAATTCACTCTTTCATTCAACAAATTTATCCACATTTTCAAAGAATCAACTAACCCAGAAAATGTCTTGTGCTTGAAATAATATATGACTTCTGTGTTCAAATCCTAAATCAATAATAAAAGAAATACCTAGAGTAGCTTCTATTTTCTGACTGAACTGTTACAAATACTTAAGGTTGATTTGAGAGTAATTCCATCAAACTGTGGAAGTTAAATTCTCTGAGGCTTACTTCTTTGCAAATGTAAAATCAAGTTAATGACATTGATACAGCTGTGTTGGGAAGTTAGCAACAGGAAATATGTCTAAAATGCTTAGCACGGACTCTAGCACTTAGTAACTGCTCATTAAAAAGTAATAGTAATAGGTTGCCATCATTCCATTGTATATATAAACTCTGACTTGTGAAATCCGTGCCTTACCACTGGTCATGTAGTTCAAAGGCAGTAAAAGACAGTAGATAAAAGTCAGGGCTTTGGAGAAACACAGAAAAAAATACGCAAGCTGGCGCTGTTGTTTCCTTGACATGTGACCTTTGATGAGCTATTTAAACTATTTAAAAAGCCCACTGTTTCTGTGTGTGTGTGTGTGTGTGTGTGTGTGTGTGTGTGTGTGTGTGAGACAGGGTCTCACTCTGTCACCTAGGCTGGAGTGCAGTGGCGTGATCTCAGCTCACTGCAACCTTCACCTCCCGGGTTCAAGCAGCTCCTGCCTCAGCCTCCCGAGTAGCTGGGACTGCAGGCATGTGCAACCATGCCTGACTAACTTTTGTATTTTCAGTAGAGATGGGGTTTTTCCATGTTGTCCGGGCTGGTCTTGAACTCTTGGTCTAAAGTGCTCCACCCACCTTGGCTTCCCAAAGTGCTGGGATTAAAGGCTGTTTGAGACACGGTGCCCAGCTATCACTCACTTTTCTTATCTATAAAATGAAGATAATAAAAATATCTGCCTTGTAGAGCTATCACGAGAATTAAAATGATATGCCTGGCCTATAAAATTCATAAATATATTTTAGCTTAAAAATCAGTTTTGTTAATTTTTATTATTTTGGCCAATTTTTATATTTTTATTATTTAATAACATGTTTGTAATCAATTTTACACATCCATATTGAAACTGTGACAAATTCTTAGGATGAAACTGGTATGTTAAAAAGCATAATAAATAAATAAATAAATAAATAAATAAATAAATAATAAATAAATACCTTTTCCCAAATGCTCTCCAGAAAAGCTATCCTCCCAGCAATACATGAATGTGGTCTGCTTCCCAGAGCTTTGCCAGTACTAAACACTGCAGTCTTTTATTTGCAACGTCTTCAAATATTTGAAGGAAAAATTATAAAATCTTTTTGATGCTACTTAATTTTTTAAAATTATTTTTGAGGATAAGACTTTTTCACGTTTATCACCCATCTGTAGTTCTTTGGCTCATTTTCCCTTCGAGTTTTCTGCCCATTTTTTATTTAACCGATTAATCTTCATTTAGTTTACTCACTGAGCTCTTTATATCTTGATTTACTTTCATTAACCATGTTGTCGAAATAGTGTTTTTAAAAAAATAATATTAAGTTTTAAATACTTACGAAGTCAAATCTCTCCACCTTTATGGGTTTCTGCCTTGGAAGTAACCCTTATAAAGACCTTCTTTACAACCCTAGAGATTAAATCTACTATAATTTATAGTACTTAAGCACGTCTCTTTCACATCGATGGATGGCAGACACACCTGACAGTGACAAGCACACCCTGAGATGCACCTGTATGGTGGATGCACCTGAATATGTGTTCAGAGTTCTGAGCTAAGGAATCTGGGAGTGGCCAACCCAGACATTCATTCCTTGTCTACGAGGAACATCTGAGCCCCCAGCCAGTCCCATGGAAGTGGGCCATAAAAGGGATTGAGGCCGTGTCTTTTGGGTTAAAAAAAGGTTGCCAGGTGGAGGTTGTTAGGTGGATGGTGCTAAGTGAAAATGTTACAGAAATTGCATCGCTTTTTGCAAACGGATGCAGTTCTCCTCCCAGCCTGCCACCAATGGGTCGCGCAGTACTCCTGCCCAGCCCTGCCATGACTGGGCCCACTCTGTATGTAAGTTTTCCTCTAATACAACTGTGTCTCATCTGCTGACTCTGGGTTACCTTCTTCAGCCTCTTGAACCTGGTGCATCCCTATTGAAGTTAGTAGAATGCAGCACAACAACATATTTAAATCTTTACTATATCTGGAATTAGGAAGGAGGGAGTAAAGTGTGAGGTTGAGAATTTCACTGTTTTCTAAGTGTTTGGCCCAGTTTTCCCAATACCCCTTGTCAGATGATCCATTCTTTCCCCACAAAATCTGCCTTATGATACATCATATCTGTGGGCATCCTTGGCTGTGAGCCAGGGCAGGCAGTGTGTTGATGGGTGGCAGACACAGTCTGAGCCCACCTCCCTACTGCTCTCTTCTCCCTCCTCCAGTGGCCTCATTTCCTTGCCACATGGCTGAGTCCAGAAACTCATGCCAAGGCCTCTCCATTCCTGTGCATTGCACGTCAGTAGGGCTGCAAGGGCTGCCAGTCCACACAAGTCACAGCCAGTCCAGGGCCATGTTTGCTGATAATCTTCCTCCTGCCTCTACCACCATGTCTTGCCCCTTCCAGTGAGAGGGCTTAGGTGCGAGTCTATGAGTGCTTCACTCTTGGAATGTGGTCTTCCTCAGAAGGTAAACCAGCTGCAGCTTTTCTTAAACAAGGTCTCTAGCTCACTCTAAGAAAATTTCCTGGAAATCTCTGGCATGTGGGTGGCATTTATTTCTAGTTTCCAGCATAAGGGCAGACATATTTTTTCCTTATATATTCTGATTATCATTTCAATGGGAATTTGGGGGTGGGTGGAATAGAACACCTGTGTTCAAGCACCCATCTTGCCAGGAAGCCAAATGGCTTTGTAATTAACACTCAGTCCTGTCACTCATGAATTCCAAGAACAACCTGTGCTTAGTAACATGCAGTAAACAACTCGTACACATTACCTTTGATTGCTGCTAAATATCCTCGGAGTTCTCGCTGAAGTCTGGTGCCCTCTGCCTGAAAAACACAAGCACAGATGCTAAACATCTAGTCTACAGCTAGCATGAAAACATGTAAGAAGTGGTTAAGTCTCAATGTTACTATTGCCAGAAGCTCATTCTTGAAGAAGGAAAAAATGTAGACACAGGCTAAACAAGGCAATAATGTCCATCAGTCTAGATATTTACAGAAATTTCGTTCCACTTCCAAGAGCAAAAGAAGGCAAGATTTTGCTAATGGACAATACAATTCATTATACAGCCTCTAATTCAAGAGCTATCGAATTTCTAGATTTTGACACATGGGTTACAATAGTAGGGAAGTGATCACCATTATCTAATACGGTAGCTGCTAGCCACATATGGCTATTGAAAATTTGCAATTGAGATGTATTGTAAGGGTATTTTTCATTTACAGTATAAGTGTATTTTATATAACAGGTTCTAGAGATGAAACGCCAAAAAAAACCTCATTAATTTTATATAGATTACACGTTAAAATGGTAATATTTTGGATATATTGAATTAAACCACATTATTAAAATGTGGCCACTAGAAAACTCTAAGCTATGTAGTTTGTATTACATTTTTATTGGACTGCACTGAAAGAGAGAAATCGTTAAATTATACATGTTGACACATGAATCCCTGTTTTGGTTTAAATACCTTTTTAGAAACTCTGAGACTCTCTGAAACTGGGATGAGACTGCAAATAGCTTAATTTGGAGTTAATCAAAGAAATGCCAGTAGGAGAGTTGAGAAGTGAGGCAGAGAAGGGAAGACAGCCGATACAGGGTACATTATCAAGCAAGTTACCACTGTGAGCAAATGGGCCTCAGTTCCACTGGGGAACTCTGGAAGACAGTGCCAATAAAACACCCTATATATACCCCGACTGAAAGGCAAGGAAGCTGGGGCATTTATCCAGTATCTCTTGTCAGCCATGTTTCTAGGGCTGCTCCCAGGGAATATTAATTCCCCAATATGTCTATATAGGGACAGAGAGGGATCCAAAAACCAGAGAAGCCCCCAGGCACAGAGTTGCTAATGCTAGCAAGTCAGTCTGGTGGGCTCAGAAAATGTAGCTACTAGGGACATATGGCTGGGCACCAACAGTAGCTGCTATGACTCTACAGCTGAAAATCTATTTAAAATATGCATGCATTTTAATTGCTTAGTCATTTAACAAAATTGTAGAGAGCTAGCACACAGGACTCCACCTTAAGTTCAATAATAGGACAGCAACTTCGATAGTCATGGTCAATTTAAACATTGTTAGTATTTACTCAAAAGAGTGGTGAGGAGACCCTCTTTCCTCATAATAATCTACTGGGGGAGCTTAAATATATAAGCACCAAAAAAAATTGTACTGCAAGGCAGATTACATTTAGCATTGCAACAGCCATTCAAAGTGTTGAAGTACAAAAACAAAATGCCCATCACATTCAGAAATAATGATTAATACAAAGACACTGAAAAGACGTAAGACTATGATCGATGGCAAAAGGGATTCTGAATCAGGATATTTTCCATATAACACTTGTATTGTACAGGTATAGTGACATTATTTCCTTGAAAGCTATGCAACACTCAGGTGAGGTATTCTGTATTTGAGTTAAGCTCAAGCTATTGTTGCAGCTTAATAAACGCAGTTGCTACCAGACAAAAGCTTAGGGTTAGTCCATATGCTGGCATGTACGAACTTCAAACAGAATGGTTCTATTCAGAAGGGCAAAGCAGAAATCAAAGTGCTAAAGAATTGACTCCCTTTCTAGTGTCTCAACATGGTTTTCAATCAAAACTCAGTTTCTATTATCTTGTTGAAACACTCAGAAAGTTTGTCTGATGGCAAATTTCCATGAACTACAGAAAATAAAGCAAATCATGGTGGGGTTCCAAACAGTAAAGTGTAGTAGAAAACTATTTCAAGAGAGAGGAAGAGAACAAAGAGAAAATGCTGATGGTAAACACTTCAGTAAAAGTCGATGATGACGAGGACCCAGAGAAATCAGGATGAAGTCCTCAATACCACCAAGAAAGTATATTGGAACAAAAGAAGTGGGTCTTTCCCCTACTAAACATCCATTATGTGAGGGCATTGTGTCACATTCTGAGTATACAAAAAGTGGAAAAAATACGGCTTTGGTAGATTTTATTATTGTCAATCTATGCTGCATCTCCCTACCAGATCTGTCAGTGGAGGAAGATCATACTTCCTGCCTCAGCAACATCAGGGTTGGCTGTAGGACTTGACCTAGCCAATGAAATGTGAGTGGAAGTAACATGTGCTACTTCCAAGCTGAAGCTATAGAAGCCATCACATGCTCCTGACATTTCTTTCCTCTCCCCATACAGAATTTGTTTCTTCAATCTGGAACCCACAGTGAAAGGACCACAAAGCACAGCCACCACCTGCATTTTCATGAGTGAGAAACCAACCTCTGTTGTTGAAAGACACTGGGATATTGCTACCATGACATAACCTAATGCAAATTGCCCGATGAAATGATTCACCGTCAACAGAGGAAATGCTGAGATATGGAGAGAGGCTGAAATCTAGCCACAACAATAAAAAGCTCAATAGAGTTAGTGAACAGAAAAGAACTAAAGACATTTACGGAAACATTTCAGAAAAATCAAATTGGAAGGATTAAGGACAAACTGAATGGTTCACAAATGGAAGCCTAAGTTGTGGTCAAGTGATGGAAAGAGATAGAATGGAACTGAGAGAGAAGCAAGCTCCAGAATCATTTGTCCCATCAGATTTCAGATAATGTAAGAGATAATAATATAGGAAATTTACCTGGACAAATATAGACCCAAACCGATCTAAAGCCTAACAGCCCTAAAAGGTACAAATAGGAGGGCTTGAATCCACTAAGGCCGTATTTCTCAAACTAGATAATTATAGAATCTGGGAACATTTATTTGTCTAGGGCACATACATCCACAAAACAAAGCAAAAAGATCTCTCTGGAACATCAATTTATTGAGATGAAAGGAAAGAAATGGAAGAGAAACCATTATTTTACAACCACTAAGCCACCTCTTATGAAGTTGAATAAAAAATGGCATGGGGATGAAACACAGAACTTCACAGACGTCTGCTGCTTTCAGCTGTCTGCTTTAGGATTCTGTTGTACTAGTCATGGTCCTTCCATGGAAATGTGTCAGGGACACTGAGTTAAGCAAGGCTCACTTCCTACCCAGAAGGATGTGTTCCCTCAGTTATACAAAGCCGGCCATGAAAATGGTTAGTTATGAGTCACCAGGATTGCTCAGAATATCCAGAAATAGCAAAAAAGTAGCAGGGAAGGGCATTATTTTCTCAAATGTTCAAGGAATAAAGTTATGTCAAATTAACCCCATGATTAACTAAGTGCCTTTCTTTCAGTAGAAATAAAGGGAAATAATTCAGTCTCAATCCATATACTGGATTCATCTTGTCAAAGGAAAGCAAGATTTTTTTAAATGAAATAAGAAATCCAGAGGAGATTTGTTTATATAAGAGTAGAAGAAAGTTCAAAATTGTACAATAATGGTTTAATAAATGTGTTCAATTTAAGAAGATAAACCAAAGGCTGATTTAAATGAATTTCTTCTTTTATAATTATTAAAATTCTTAATTTTCCCCATGAGTATTTGGGTTTCATAAACCACTCAGTAATAGCCATATTGAACTTCATCTAAAATTCTACCTTAATCAAAAAGGTAAAAATCCTAGAGAAAAATTGTTCACCTACAATATGCCATAAAGTAGTTTCTTCTGCACAAAACTTACTGCATAACAAAATTTCCTTAAGATCATTATTCCGCAGGAATAGCAGATGTTTGAAATTAAACAAATTTTTATGACATAGCTCAGATTTCACTGAATTTGAAGTTCTTTCCAAATCCCTCTGAAAACTATCATTTTAGTAATTCAGCTGTGAATTATGTATTGCACATGTGTGTGCAGAAAACAAAGCTCTACATCCTTAAGATTATATGCCGTATTTCCCTTTCTTGTTTCTTTATCTCATCTTCCACAAGATATGACAAAATTATTGTTCCATATCCTGGTCACAGAGATTATGACAACAGGAGGGCAAGGGAGTCTATTATAATTAAGTTGTATGAATTGCCTAGTAATACTCCTCTTTGGAGAAGATCCAACTGCATGAAGGTGTGACAAATGTTGGAAATTAATGACACAAGCTTTTCTTTTCTTTAGATATACTAAATTTTGAAGCACTGCAGTATACTAATATCAGTAAATACATATGCCAAGACTTCAAGAGTCTTCAGAGAGGTATAATTTTGTTAGTTTACTTTTAACCCAGTTATTTCTGCACAGATGAAAGAAGCCATAGTTGAGGCATTAATTTAGTTATGGACAAAATTCATAGAATGAATTATTTCTAAGAAAGTAACAGCGGCATCTGCTGCACAATTTAGGGGCACTGTTCTCACATGCTACCATGTGCATGAAACCCCTGGGCAGGGCTGTGCATCACTATGGCCTCAACTGCACAAGAAAAGCCAAACCCTGTGGATTTTATTAGTAAGGTTAAGCAGGTCTGGAAAATACCTCAAGGCAATAGGAGTTTAATACTTGTTAAACAAGCAATGCCCTGTTGAATTGGCTTGCTGATATATGGTCAGTGCAGCACTGATTTATCTTTATAAGTAACTTTTGTTATAATAAGGAAAAGAAAGACAAAAGGAAGAAAATATCACACCACAGTATAGAAATTTTTTTCATTAAGTTGCTTCTCCAAATCAGAAACTGTGAACTGACATTTTTAAAAGGGCTCAGGTGGAAAGCCAGCAGTACTAACATCTGCATTTAAAGTGGATCTTAGGAGTCAAAACTTCATAAAGTTGTGATTTTACAAAGGTGAGTCCTGTCATCTCATCTGTGATCATAAGCCTATAGACATTCCCATAGTTACATTATTATTTTTGGCCTTTGATGACATTTTTCTCTGAAAATGGCTGAAGTAACATATCAAAATTAAAACTGGCTCAATTTCTCAG